AGCCGTCTATATTTATTGGGGACATCATAGTTAGATTGAGGTAAAGGGGCTACGTGGAGGGACTATGTGGAGTTACTATGGATACATTGCCGATGAAGGCAAGGCTTGTAAAGGAAGAGACAAAGCATTCTTGAATTAGAAACGGAACAGGCAAAATATAGGTTGTGGTTAATAATTAACCTTGTCTTTTTAGTGAAGAAGATTTTGACTCTGGGAATGGAATTTGGGTAAGAGTGACTTTGACTTTGGCATGTAGGCTTCAGCCAGACTTGTTTCTCAAAACAAGCCAACTACGAGGTTAACTCTTCACAGCCTACACTACTTTGCAGCCTACTTCGGGCATAATCAATAGGGTGGTTCCCCACAGTACACAAATCGAAAACTCACTGAGAGAATTGGGGAAACAACACCTTTTACGATAGCATGAAGAAAAAGAAATACCTAGGAATCAATCTAACTAAGAAAGTAAATGGCCTTTACATTGAAAACTATAGTACTCTGAAGAAGGAGATCAAAGAGGATATCAGGAAGTGGAAAGACATCCTTTGTTCTTGGGTGGGATGAAACAATATAGTGAAACAGCCATACTTCCAAAGTTGTTATACTGATGTAATGCATCCACAATCAAAATACCAATAACATGTTTCACAGAATTAGAGAAAGCAATCCTAAAATTTGGAAATGGAAGAATAGAAAAAGCAGTTCTGGGCAACAAAGGCAAGGTTGGAGGCATAACGTCCCCTCACTTGAAATTATACTACAGAGCTACTGCAACAAAAACAACATGGTACTGGCAAAATAAATAAATAAATAAATAAATAAATAAATAAATAAATAAATATAAATAAATAAATAAATAAATAAATAAAACAGACCAGAGAGTCAATGGAACAGATTAGAAGTTGCAGAAACAACAATATACTCAGCCACTTTAAATTTGACAAGAGCCAAACATCTTCACTAGAAGAAAGATAGCCTCTTTAATAAATGGTGCCAGAATAATTGACTTTCCACATGTCAAAGTTTAAAATTTTCACCATGCACTCAACTAAAATAAAACTGGATCAAAGATTTAAATATTAAAACATAAACACTAAAGCTACTGGAAGACAAAATAGACAGAACTCTTTAAGACACTGGTGTAGGCAAAGACTTTATGGACAAAACCCCAATCGCAAAGTAAATATCTGAAAGAACCAACAGCTAGGTTCACATCTTATTAAAAAGATTTTGTACCACAAAAGAAACCAACAACAGAGTGCAAAGATAACTGACAGTTTGTGAAAAAAAATTTTGCCAGCGGTTTCTCGAAGGACTAATATCTAGAATATATAAAGAACTTTTAAAAAGTCAGACCACCCAAATTTAAAGACCAATTTAAAAATGGATATGAAATGAATAGATACTTCTCAGATGAAGAAGTAGAAACAGGAAATAAATATATGAAAAAATGTTCAACATCACTGGTCATTTGAGAAATGCCAATTAATAAAGCACTGAGATTCCATCTCACTCCAGAAAGAATGGCTGCTATCAAGAAAGCAAGCAATAGCAAATGCTGGCCGGGGTGTGGGGAGAAAGGAACCCTTCTCCACTGTTGGTGGGAATATAAACTGGTGTAACCATTTGTGGAAACAAGTGTGGAGATTCCTCAAAAAATTAAAACTAGAGCTTTTAGAGCCTTCTTGGCACTCCCCCCACCAAAGAATCAACAGTGATATACGTGCACCCATGTTTATAGCAGCACAATTTGTAATAGCCAAATCTTGGAAACAGCCCAAATCCCTATCAACTGATGATTGGATAAACAAGATGTGGGTTTTAAAATATATATAATATAAAATATATATATATATGGAGTACTACTCAGCCATAAAGAAAGATAAGTGAGAGGCATTTGTAACTAAATGGATGGACCTTGAGGCTATATTCTTAAGTGAAATGAATCAGGTACACATATTCAAATGTCACGTGGTTTCTCTGGTGTGAGAAAGCGGAAGAACAAAGGAGGACCACAATATACAACAGATATTGGGAAACGTTCCAATGAGCCAAGAAACAAGAGAAAGGTGAGAGGAAAAGGAAATAAGGGACACAGGAAAAAGAACAGAAGGAAAACAAGAAACAAAAGAGAGAGGTATTAAAAGAGAAAAAGAATATTAGTTTAAGATGAAGAGGGCCGGAGATTTAGCTCATCATGCTGCCACCTGCCTCAGAAGGGCAAGATCCCGAGTTCAATCCTCAGTATCCTCCACAAGAAAAACCTAAGAGCCCAGCATGGTAAGTCATACACACCTGTAATTCCAGCACTCTGGGAGGCTGAAGCAGGAGAATCCTAAGTTCGAGTCCAGTATGGGCAATTTCACAAGTTAGCAAGACCTCATCTCAAAATGAAAAAAAAATTTTTAAAAAAAGGCTGGGGATATCACTCAGTTCGAAGTCCCTGGGTTTATTCCCCAATACCAAAAATTACAAAATAGAAATAAACAATTAATACTCAGAAAATCTGAAAAACATGGGGTTTTCATTATTCATATTGATTCCTCAGTTGTGACAAATACACGCACTGATGTAAGAGGTTTAAAAAAGGGAAAAATGAGCATAGGCCCTGTCTATGTTGCTCCCTAACTTTGTTGAATGCCTCGTGAGTAGATGACAAAGGGTACTTGGATAGACTACATTGTGAAGAATTAGAAGAAAACAGAGTAGTTATGTATCTATGAGATGGTGACAAAGTAACGCTGAATAAACAACCTCTTTTTTTCTCTCATGTATTTAATAATAATAGATTTTAAAAGTGCATAGCTCAGGCTGGGGATTTAGCTCAGTGATCCTGCTATCTGCCTCACAACTGCAGGGTCCTGAGTTCGAGTCCCCAGTACCAAACAAAAAAGTGTATAACTCTTGGAATAGAATACATGAATGTATCTGTACAAAATGCCTAGCATATAGCAGGTACTCAGTGATTGTTCTCATGCCTCACCTATATGAGGATTGTGGGCAAATTACTTAACCTGTTTATGGACTTCAAGGTACTTGTTACTCAACAAGGTACTTGTTATTTGCTATACAAAAAGTGTGGCTCCTACTGCCTTCTAACTGGATGATGCAATTTGTATCAGTGGGGAAATAAATCTCTACACTCTCTCCTTGCATTATAGACACTGGCAGGAGAAGGAAAGAGGAAAAATCCTTCCATTTCCTTACTGCTGATACAAGGTGAGTCTGAGGGTGAATAAACTTTTGTTCTAGCAGATGCGTTAATGAGAAGGTATTTTAAAAAATAGGCCTTGAATCCAATAGAGGGTGGAAAGTTCAGAACAGCTGAATATCCTGCATTAAAAACTGTGTGTGTGGGGTGGTGAGTGTATTTGTATCTGCCTGTCTGTCTGTCTTCCTGGGGGAATTTCTGAGCTAAAGACCAGGAGGTTATACTCTTTGGAGAAATATAACCAGCAAGTTTTCTATGGAAGCATACCCAATAACTTTTTGAATCAGAAAATGCCTGAAACTCTTTTTAAATTTGTTCTATAATAAAAACACCCTTCATCACTCCATTTTCCAAAAGTCTGCTAAACAGACGAGTGGCTGGGGTATGAAAGATTCTGGTGGAAATAAAAATCTTCATCATCTTCATCAGTACCAGTCCAAAGAAAGTTCAGAAATAGAAAGGATCACTGAATACCCACATCCTCAGGGAGTTTCAGGAAGTGGGAGCTGGGCATCACAGCTGGGTTTATTTTGACCAACTTGGGAGAATGGAAGGGCCAGCATTTTCCTAGGTGCATGGTGCTCTCACAGTTGCTTCCCACCCAGCCACAGTAGGAGGGACCAAGTGCACAACAGGATGTGCCTCAGCCTCATTTCCGGAAATGGGGTCATGTGCTGCAACTGCCAGGCCTAGGCACGTACACATCCTGAAATACAATGTCTCTGTTTTTTTTTTCCAGCTTTACTAAGATATAGTTAGTAAATAATAACTGTACCTGTTCAACATAAATGTGCCATTGTGATGCAAACATTGTGAAATGATTACTAAGATCAAACTAATGAACACGTCCATCTGCTCACCTAATTACTTCCTGTGTGTGTGTGGTAAGATTACTTAAGATCTGCTTTCAGGGAATTTCAAATATATAATGCATGATTAGTACCTGTAGTCACCACATGACACACTTAGGACTGCAAGTTTGAATCCCTTGACCAGCATCTTACCTTTCTAGAGGGGAGAACGGTGCCTTCCCGCTTCCCCACACCCCCAGACTATGGGGCTGCAAAGCGGAGACTGTGAGTTTCATCTTCTTCTAACCTGAACACTGAAGTCAGCTCATTTTTAAAATGTGCTCGCCTTAGTTTGGGTCTTCAATGTCCTCTTAGAGGCTCAGTCCCCAGCTTGGAACCACCGGTAAGGGAGGAAACTTGAAGAGGTGAGCAGTGTTCTGCCTACTGCGGGGAATGACCTTGAAGGAGATACGAAGATTCCAGCCCTCCTCTTCCTCTCTCTTCCATTTCCCTGCCACAGAGTGAACAGCTTTTGTCCCACCACACCCTCTACACTAGCAAACCTCCACTTGAATTGGTGAGTGCAACCTGGGTGTGGGGCTTTGGAAACAGCCTCAGCTGCCGCGGAGGTATAAGTAGGCTGAGAAGCCAGGTCTTGGGTCCAGCACCTTGTCTGCCTGGGGCTGGTTTTCTCCCTCTTGCTCTCACTGATGACGGTTGCTGGTTCCTCCTTTTCTCAAGGGAGGTCTTCTAGAACTATCTGATAAAATACAACCATAGAAATGAAGTGCTTTGAGGAACTGAAAGTGTGTTAGGACTATTAGGTTAGTATAGAAACATCTCTTGAATTGCATTTGGTTTTATGAGCCTTACTTGAGGTCATTTAACTTTCCTCTACAGCAGATTGAGTAATGAATAAATACAGAACAATGGTATGGCTTTATGGTGTCCTGGGAATAATGAGCTTTTGTTCCTTCTTCTACCAGCTCTTTTGGCAGTTTGTGGGGATGTAAAAAAAAAAGAAGGAGGCTCCGGCTGGCTTCTCCACTGGCTTACTTGGAATCAGCAAAGTGCATTCACCTGCCTGATCGCCTGCCACTCCCAGGGTGGGGCAGAAGATGAAGCAGCTCGGACATCAAGTACGAGGAGCAGATAGCAGGGCCTTCCTTGCAAGGCCATCTCGAAGCCTCTCCATCTCGGTTGGCCCCTCAGAAGCCGTCACTACTCAATGTAAGTAGAAACGAGAGGATACAGAAGGGCTTGGATTCTCTGAGGCTCACAATTCACCACAGACACTACTGTTTTCTGTCTATTGCTTGGCTCCTGGTTGAGCAGATGGTGCTTCTCTAGAAGTACCAGGGGCCCTGCTTTTCTGCTCATCTTCCTGCCCCTCATCCTATGCTTGGCATTTTTGCTAAAGTCCTTTTGGTTGTTATTTTTGGGCGGATGTGACCTTGCACATACAAGTGCATGCATACATGTACACTAACACATACCTAGCAGAGGCTCACACATACACCCTTATAAATAAGGAGGATGCCTTTTTATAATCTTTATGCACAACAATCTGTACTGCAAATGGACTTTTCGCAGCACTCATGAACCCTCTTATTGCCAATTGTGAGATCCCCTGGAATGTGCCAGACCTTCTGAAACTACCTGCTGCCATGGTTTTGGACTGAAAGGAAGGCTGAAAGGTTATTCAGTGTTCTTTCTCTGCATGTCTGGGTAATTCAGAAGACCATGCTGCTTTTCTGACTTGGTCTACTTACTCGCTACATGAGCTTAATGAAGGAAGGTTGCATTACCAGACACACAGAGTTGCAGTGGGAGTCCCTGAGTAATTAAGGAGAAAATGCTGAAATTACCAAAAATACACAATGGGGAGAGGACAGTCTTCATGAAGGGCTGTTTGGAAATGGAAAGCAAAGGAATCAAATTAGACTTCTATCTTACACCCCTCCAAAATAATTGCCAGCATGTTGGGCAACTGAGGCAGGAAGATTGCAAGTTTGAGCCCAGCCTGGGCAACTTAGTGAGACCCTGTTTTAAAATGTAAAAGGGGTTGGGATGTAGCTCCGTGTGAAGCCTCTGAGTTCAATCCCCAGGACTGCCAAAAAGTCAACTCAAAATAGACAACAGGCTTAAACCTAAAACCCAAAGCTGCAAAACTACTAGAATAAAAGGAAAAGCTTCGCGACATTGTTCTTGGAAACAATTTCATGGATGTGACATCAAAGCACAGGCAACAGAAACAAAAATAGGCAAGTGAAGCACAAACTGAAAAGCTTCTGCAGAGCAAAGGAAACAATTAAATGAATGGAAATGTGACCAATGTGATGGGAAGATATTTATAAACCATGCATAAGTGGTTAGTTCCCAAAAGATATAAGGAATTTCTGTAACACAAGAGCAAAAATACAACTAAGCTGTTTAAAAATGGGCAAAGGACCTGAATAAATATTTCTCCCAAGAAGACAGATAAATGCCAACAGGTATGGGAGAAGAGGCTCAGAATCACTGCCAGGAGGAAAGTGCAAACCAAAGCCACGCTGGGTTTGATATCCCAACTCCTGTTGGGATGGCTATTATAAAAAAAAGAAAGAAAAGGAAGAATATAAAATGAAAGAAAAGAAGAAAGAGAGAAGCTACAGAAAAATCAGAAGCCTTGTGCACGGTTGGTGGGGATGTAAAATAACATACAGAAAATGGTTCAGAGTCTCCTCAGAAAATTAAAAATAGGACGACTATGGGTATCTAAAATAATTAAAATTAGCATCTCCAAGGGGTATTGACTCTGCGTTCCTGCAGCATTATTCACAATAGCCAGAATATGGGAGCCGAAACGTCCATCGGGTATAGATACAACTAAACGGTATTCAGCCTAGAGAAGGGTGGCCTGGCATTTGGACAACATAGAGGAAGGCAAATGCCAAATGAAATACATCTGTTATGAAAGGATAAACACGCGTGTTTACATAAGTAAAGATATCAGTCAAACTGACAGAAGCAGAGAAAAGGATGCTGGTTGCCAGGGAGTTGGGGAGTTGTTATCCAGTGAGTATTAAATTATAGTTCCACTGACGAATAAATTCGGGAGATTAGCTATACCACATAATGCCCATGGATAGAATGAAGAATTGTGCACTTAAGATGAAAGACCAAGTGTTGTGTTATTAGTGCAAAAGCGAGAAAGAGAAAGAAACAGAAAGGGACACAGGGAAGCTCTTTTATGGAGGTGATAGAATGTTTAAGACCTTAGCTGTGGGTCTGTCAAGGGTGTTTGCATCTGCGCAAACTCATAAAATTGTGTACATCGAACGCGTGTGGGTTTTGGTATATCAAGTTTATTTCAATAAAGGTGCTTTATAAAAAGTGCTACACTGAAAGTACAGTGGGCCCAATGGAATTGAGAGCACCCCTCGGTCTTAAGTGCCCTATGCCTGGGAAGTTTGCTTTTGAAGGTCTGTACTTCTGCCTTCAGAAGCCGGCTCCTGAGCTCCTGCAGCTACTTTGCCTGATGGCTTCAAGAAGCAGGATAGCTGAAGGTGTGTAGATCTGGAGTGAATTTACTTGGTGACTGAGGATGAGAGGAAAAAAGAGTCCAGCCCTTTTGCGATGCGCTGGTGCACCCACTGAGATGGGTTTACTATTCCAGCATCCCCTGGGAGCCCAGGCTAAGTTTAATCTCCTGCTGGTTTGGCTTCCTGCCCGTCCCTATTCTGCCTCGCCTGTCACTCACCGGTTCCTCCTGGGGGCTCTTCCTATCTAATTCTCCGGTGCACCACTGTGTGTCAGAGTCTGCTCCCAGAACCTGACTTCAGCCACAGCTGTAACATGATAGGACAGTGTAATTCCTCCTGGCAACTCGGTGATTACAAAAACACATGCTTACTAAACATCTTCTTAGACACTGTTCAGTGCCTTTTATGGAAAACATGCACCATCTCATTTAATCCTTAATCCAACCCTTTGTAGATAAAGAAGAAGGGATTTAGGCAGATTAAGTAATTGTCCCAAGATTATATGGTGGCTTAGCAGTAATTAAAGACAAAGCCTGACTGGACCTAAAAGTCCTGCTTTGGTTTACAACGTCAAACTGAAGGTTTGGGGAGTATATTTCCCCCCACTTTTTGCTTATTTTTTTCCCTACTTTCAATTTTCTTCTTGTCCTCTTTCAATCATGTTAGCCCAAAGGCATGTCTGAGGAGAGAATCACGTTCTTCCAAAGGCAGATCAAAATCAAAAAGTCCACTCACAGCTTGCCAAGAACAAAGGCAGTGATTGATCTTTGGTTGCTGCTCCAAAAGGCAATCACACTAAAACCAATCCTGCCTCTACCCTGGGTGGAGAAAGCATCACTCACCATATATACTACTCTTCCTGGGAAACTGCTTGCTGCCTACAACTCAGGTGTGAGGAGTGAAGTGAGCAGCCCAAACAGGATGTCCTGACTAGGTTAGGAGGGAGGAGAGGACTAGGTTAGGGCGAGGGAGGAAATACCTGGCAGTATTTCTGTGGGATGCCAGAAGGCCAGGAATCTGAAGCTGACTTTGAATGCCTGTTGGTCATTTCATTACAGTTACGGCTCGCTGACGGTGATACACTGAGACGTGTGTTGAGAGGCAATTTTATTGTCTGGCAAGCATAACAGAAAATGATGAACATAAATCTACAGCCGACTACATGTTTGGCTATAAGGTAAAGCCTACTGCCTCTAGGGAAACTCTGCTTTGGTAACTAGTGTGTTATCGTACTGAATGCTGTAGGTAATTGTAGCCCAATAGTAACTATTCTTGTATCTTCACATATTTAAATAGGTGTGTTTACACCAGCATAACTACAAGCACATGAGTAATGAGTGTTGCTTTAGCAGTATCATGGTTATGAAGTTACTAGGGGATAGGAGCTTTTCAGTTTCACTATAATCTTACAGGGCTACCATTCTGTATATTGACAAGACACAGCATATGACTATATTTAATTTCACATGCAGTGTTTTAAGCATCTGCTAGATGATACATGCCAAACAGAAAGATGGGAAAGGCTCGGTTCCTGCTCTGGGAGTAATTGTAGTTTGTGGAGAGACATTCAGCAAAGCTGAATCCAACAAAGAGATTGGAGCACAAAAATGGAGGCCAGCAGGTCGGCCTTGGAGAGGCTCAAATGTAGAGAAGCACTTAAATTGCAGTGCAAGATGGTTGTGATTTGTTCAGACAGAAGTATTTGTAATCATAGGGCAAGTGAGTTGGAAGGTCAGAGGTATCTCAGGTGATGGGGAAGAGATTCAGGAAAGGTGCAGAGGTATTGGAATGCAGACATTATTCTATGAATGGCCCAGAGGAGCTGGAGCTGCTATGATGGACGATGGTAAGAGAGGTGGCCATGGTTTATTCAAACTTTATTGTGTGCCTTCTGTGTATTACATAGATGTAAATGCTGCAAAAGATAGCAGAGATGAATAGACATAGCTTCTTGCCCCTTTGTTCCTCACGAGTGAAAGAAACAGACAAAGAGATAGCTACAGAAATGTGAAATATGTTATGAGGTAGCCACAAGGACATGGATCCAACAGAGCCAGGAACACTTCATGGAAGAGGGGGCACTTGAATTACGCCTCATAGCTAACAAGGAGCAGTAAGGTTGGAAGGGGGTTGGGCCAATGATGGAGCATTTTATATCAAACGAGGGAGTCTGGACTTGGTCTATTAGAGAAGATCAGAATCAATGCCTGTTTGGGTACAGTAAGGGGAGAGGGAGTCACTGTTAGACCCTTGAGTAACAGGCTAAACATGTGGTGGCCCTCCAGTCTCCAGCTCCTTCTACAAGTTCGCTGATGTGGCTCTACCCTGTTTTCAGATAGAGATCCTGCTGCTCTGGCTAATTCACGGATTTATTTTCATCACTGTGACTTGGTGCCTCTAAGATGTTAATGTCACAGGGGGCTGGAGCAGGGTTCAGAGGGAGGCAGAGAAAGGTTGGCAGTACACTCTCGCACCGCGTCCTCTCGCTCAATGTTCCTCAACAGAAGAGGGAATGGACGGGAGCGCTGATTGCTGGTGCAGTCACTATGGCCATGTGCCAGCTCCCGTTGTTTATGAAGTGCCCGAATGGATTAGAGGCACCTTTGAAAGTGCCTGCTCCAGAGAAGAGGTAGTGAAACATGTCTCGATTGTCTGCCTCTGAGGAGCCTGCTTCCAAATGGGCACAAGCAGGGTTTAGGAGGCCGAGTTTCAAAGGCACACCGGCCTTTCCACAGAGAGAAAGGAGACGGGAGGAACACTCAAGCCCTGCCTGGATCTCTCCCACTAATGCCAGGCAGCTGTCCCTAAGCCCTCCCCCAGGCAACCCACAAAGCAAGGGCTTTGCTTTGAAACTAAGCCTGCTACAAATATACATATATATCTATTTATAGAGGCAACAAAATAATGCTGTCCCCTTGTTTCACATCCTTTTACTAGTCCCACCTTTGGAGACTCTTTGGAACTCTTAGAATAACCCATCTTTCCTACTTTGCTTCAGTGACTCGTATTTGGCCTTTCTCAAAAAATAAATAAATAAATAAAGTTAGATTTGGCGTTAATCGGCGCCACAGAGTTGCTTAGGGACCCAAGCATCTTCTATATGGTAGTTCTTCCATCTGCGAGGATCTCAAGTGCTGCAGAAGATCCTCATCATCCAGTGGGCAGATGAAGGGACAGGCAGTGCAAGAGGGGTTTCAAGGGAGGTCTGGGGGTCTGGTTAGACATATCCAAGCTTTACACAAACATGTCATTGGTGGAGTTCAGTCACACAACTCCAGCTAATTGCAAAGGGTGCTGAAAGACAGAGTCCTGTTAGGTACCCAGGGAGAAGAGCAGATGGCTTTGGTGAGCCTCTAGCCAATCTGTGCCACACTGTTTGTTTTTGTTTTTTTTTGGGGGGGTTTTAATTTTATTGGTACAGTTTAGGTATAGAGTAGAATAACATTCATCATTGGAAATTTGTACCTTTACATAATCTATGTTGGTTCTTATTTTTTCCCCATTCCCCTGCCCTCCCTTCAACCCCTGTTTAGGCTTGATTTTTGGAAGAGTAATTCAAAATTCAAAGTATTTATGGCTATTAATATATATTAGGGCACCATCCCATTACCTATGTGGTCATTTAACAAATATATGAGGGTGTACTATGCTATAGGTACACACTAGGCCACAACACAGAACAGAACATATACTTTCAATTGTAGCAAGGAGGATAGGCAATCAGCCAAGCTGTCTGTTATATGCTCTCTTGTTTTACTCTTGAATGTTTTCATGTACGCAAATCCCTATCCAAGGTCTGGATGCTCCGAGAGCTACATATTTCTGTTGCAGTGCCTACCTCAGTGCTGAGCACATGGAATCCAGAGTGTTACAGGTTCAATACATGATGCCACCTATTATCAAATATACTTCATGAACCAAGATCTGAGAGGTAAGATGACTGACCAAAGATCTACAGAAATCCCGAGACAAAATAACTCAAGGTAAGCACCCAAGTGAAGTAGAGAAGACATCAAACAATGGTTCTCCAAGGAAAGGAAAGATGCTTTCTGAGCATAGGAAGGGCTCTCCTGCCTTCACTGTGTTCTTAGGATAATAAAACACAAATATTGTACTGACTCACACGAAGAGGATTTATGGCCAGTGCCAGCACCGTGCCGTGATGGTTTCCATTATAGACAAGAGAAATGATAAATTTCCCACTCAAGCTAATACTAGGAACAAAGTGAATTTATTCCTGTGAAGGTGACTTGGAAAAGTTCAGCTCACAAAAGGGGCAATTCTTTGTTTTGCTTCCATTTTAAAAATGTAATTTATTTTTATGTACAGTGCTGCTTGTTTTATGTTACTGGGCTTCCTTTTTTTTTCCCCTCAATAAAGCTTGAGAAGAGAGCCTGCTCTCTACAGGGGATTTGCACCCCCAACCCCGTTCTCATATTGCTCAACACCTGTTGGGCAGCTGCTGTGTTCTCCACAAGCACTGGCTGCATCTGCAAGGACTGAATTCTAACAATATGGAAAGTTGGTGATACACTTAAGGGATTTCCAATGTGAACTTAACTCTAATAGATTGCTGGAACCACACTCTCATATTTCCTAGGTACTTCTGTGGTCTCCATTAAGGAGCAATAAAAATATCAGAGCTACTGAGTTCACTGGTAATGCAGCTATGAATCTTTATTTACATCTGTATGTAACCACATAAATACAATACTTCTATATAGCTTTCTGTGTGTGAGTATGCATGCTTATGTAACTTCATATCTATGGCTGCAAGATGTAATAAGGTTTCTTAGTAGTTGTATTACAGTAACAGCTAACACTGAATGTGTAGGTGACAGGCCTTATTCTCAGTATGTTGTATTCAGTGATGCAGTCAAACCTCAAACAACCTTAACAGGTAGCTACTATTATAATCCCTATGTTATAGAGGAGGAAAATAAACCTCAGAGGGGGTAAGCAGCTTGCCTCAGTCCACAAAGCTCATAAATGGCAAAGCCAAGATTTCAGACTGCGTGTGTGGATTCTTATTCCCTGATCTTAACTGGTCTGTAATACCTACGTGTAATTTATTCTAATAGATTTATTAAACTACCTCCTTAGTACAAATGAGATCACTCTACTTTTAATGTGCAACAAACCACTGGGATAAGTAGGCAAACCTTATCAGAGTCACTGTTAATATTAATAAAGTTTTCCCATAATAAAAGTGACACTCACAAAGTTAAGTGACATTTTAAAGTTCATGCAGTTGCTAAGTGTGGGAGCAAGAGCATTCTGCACTTTTGTTTCATATATACATACATATATATATATATGGTATAAAATATACACATATGTATGGTATAAAATATGGGGTATATGATAATTTATAGTATGGTATGCGAGGTCTAAAGTGCACAGTACTTAGGTTTTTATAAAATACATATCAATGATATATTTACATATAAATAGTATTAAAATTACTTGGAAATGGCATTTAAAGACAACCGCATTTAAAGAAACAAGCAAAAAAAAGAAACAAGTGCATTATCCAGTTCTTCTCAATGTATATTTATTTTAGAAGCTTCTACAATTGAAATGCCCTGCCCTAGGAGGAAAGGTAAGACATTTTATAGTCTGAAAGAATTAAATCCCATATTTAATGTGAAAACAGAATTCATTGCTTAGTGACAAAAAGGTTACAGGTTTTTTATAAGACTCCTATAAGCCAGGTTATTAAAATTTCAGAGCCCCTCTACATTCCATAAATACTTTATGTATCTGTGGAGGTTTGAGAGGAATGGGATGAAAGATCTCTTGAGCTGGGCTCTGTTCTTAATTCTGCTAGAGACTGGTCTTTGATAACCAGGACCTAGTTCTTTAGCTCTCTGGGCTTCAAGTTACTCATTTAAAAATAGAGCCCAAGGATATCATTCATAAATATTCAAAGGACTTTGGAATTCTGAGCAAAATTCATTCATTACTTAAAGCAATAAAGGTGGCCAAAAGAGTGGTTATTACCAGCTGTGATACTGAACATTTAGGAATCCAATACCTAGTATGAATCTGAAAGAATCAGGCAAAAAGATAGTGTCAGCTTGGCATTGTTGTGGATGAGAGAGAGCGAGAGGGAGAGAAAGCACCTGCTAGGAACCAATGATGAAGGATTTGCCCTCAGAGAACTTACACAGGGGTTAAGGAAGCCGGACCTTACACGAATGAATATGACTACGATGTCAAGAGTTACTAAGTCTTCGGTGGAAAAGAAAGCAGAGTATGAATGGTGCAAAAGCTGTGGAGGAGAATTCTATTTTTCATTTGACGGCAGACTCGATTTGAGCTGGTATCAGCCCATATGTAGGTATCCATCTGATTTGGTGAGAATCACTAACTTGTTGAAGAAGCATTTATGCATCTGAGTATCAGCACTGCCCCAAGCCTAACTGGTGGTGTTCTGTAATATACAGTTAGAAAATATGAATAAAAATTGCATTCGGAACTACATTTGTACCCAAAGTTTTCTAATAGCAAGTTATGGAGCTTTGCCAGCTGGTTTTAAGAAAAGGGGCAGGACAGGAAGTACACATGTGAAAGCCATCATCTGGTAGGTGATGCTTTGGTAAAGCCACACAGCCGGGTGCTACTCCCTAGGGGCTGGACATAGGCAGCAAGGTTTCAACCATGGCCCACGCCCCTGGTGACCTCATCACCATGGTTCATGAGAAGGATTTACTAGACCATGGGAAAATAACAGAGAGACTGTTTCCCAGAAAGCAAAGAAGTCAGTGCATGAGCATGACAGGAAGGGGTGACTACCTGGGTGGAAGCAGCTGAGGGGTCTAAGACGAGGAATAAGCAGGTGAAAGAAGAGAGGGAGTGATGTCAGGAACGTGTTATTTTGTTTTTTATCATTATGACCAGGATTCCTTACACAGAGAGTCATTCGTGATACACATTTGATCCCATATCCAAAACAATTGCAAATTGACTGGTTCTTTGAGGCATTTAATTTACTTACCTTGCTAGGATGTGAAGAGTCTTCTATGGAGAAAGTGTATATAATTAAAAACATTAAACCTCAAAGCCAAAGATCTATGTCTAAAATCCACCCCCAGTCTAAAAACTCACACTTTTATAGGCCAAACTTTGCGAAGTTACTTGACATTGCTGTACCTCAGTTTCCTCATCTGAGACAAGGAAGGTTTTAATAATAATGACAAATATGCATTAGGTCATAAAACAGTAAGTTGCACAAAGGATTTGGGCCCAGGAAGAGTCCTCCAAGTTCTTCTCTTTTTAAGGGAAAATTGGACAGCCTCAGAGTAAACCATCGTGATAAGGCAAAACATAACCTGAATGGGTCCTCAGGAGATTTGACTGGGGCTCTGCGTCTGGCAGCTGGTTTTATAGCATCCTAAGCTGCTACATCCCATGGCTTTAGAAGCAGAGATCAAGAGCCAATAGGCCCAAACTTCTGTATGTTTTGATTAAAACAGAATTTTTAGTGGGTTGGCTGGTACGTTAAGTAGATAACACTTTCTAGTTTGTTGTAGTTCATCTTTTTCTCATGATATCATTCATTTGCATGACCTACCTGTCCCTTGAATTGATTTGAGTTTGCGGCCCATGGAGCAAATAATGCTTCTCATTCCTTCATTTAAAACCTTTTACAAGTTTCGCAGCTAGCACTTCAAGACATTCTAGTTCAGGGCACTTTTATTTATTGAACTCTGTAGACACAGTGCTTAGGATCTGCACTCTTTTCAATGCCCTAGATTCAATAATAAAATGATTGCTTCTCCAATAAGACAGACGAATTAAACTTTAAGTAATAAGTGTGTTTGTATACAAAATATTTACAACACATCAACCAGTTCACTATATCTCAATTTGGGTAGCCTCCTACTTCAAAGGCAAAGTTTAAATCACAAGAATAAAATTAACAATGTATTCTCTAGGTAACTTGAAGTTATAGAAAAGTATCCAAATATTTTCATGCTTTTAGGGAAAATTGCATTTTGTGTTAATGGGGGTATAAAATGTTGCCTTTTAGAAACTGTAGTTAGTCATTCTTTTTGGGAAGTGTATCCTGTATGTTTGGTATATTTTTTATTCCTTTTCTCCATCCCTTACTCCACATTATCAAAGAAACGAGGAAGAAAATGATCATAGAGGCTTCCATATTCATACATTTACCCTACTATACAACCTAGGTCCTTAGAACCTGGGATATTGTATGTGCTCAATAATATTTACTGGCCTAATTACCTGCTGAAATCAAGGTAGAGGGCCCAAAATACACGGTTCTGGTTGGCTCATCGTAAGGGGAACCATGGAATTGTTGCTTTCAGGGAAGCAATGTTCTCAGCATCCAGTGCTTACCAGGAAAAGCATGCAACACAGTTGTTTCCAAAGAAGGATACATATAAATCTGTTCGGGTTTCTGGAGCACCCCATTTTCCAATGTAATGAGCCGCATGCAGTTATGGTATGACACACTCTCTTGCGGCTGGAGTACAGTTGTGACACCAGAAGGAACAGACAATATTTCCACTGCATAAATTGATGGGCCACCATCCTTAGAATGGAGACTAGAAAGCCTGAAGGACACTGTGTCTTTGACATCACTGACAAAAATCTGCTACGCTGCCCCACACCACATATTTTCATATTGTTTATGATGCCATAAATTTCAGTTCCATTTACAGAAGCCACAAGAAGACAAGGCTTTGTTTTGTCTTTGTTGTTGTTGATGTTTTTGGATTTGTATTTGTGACCAAAGTGCTGTCTGATTGCTACATCATAGGAAAAGGTAGTTAAAAATGGAGGGAAGATGAAAGCTGTTGGCATCTAGGGACATCCTGTAAATTTGTGTCTAAGAACCTGAAGGGATGGATGTTCTGGAAGGAAAGTGACTGTAGGCATACAGACCTAATAATAAAGAATTCCACCATAGCCAGGTGAGCAGGGACCACATACAAATATTTATATCATAACGTCTATAAATGTAGATGGACGACAGAGATATTACTTCAGGCCAACAACAGCTTCCTGGTATTAAAGATGACACAGAAATTGAATTTATAAAATGTAAAGAAATTGATGCCTAGCATGTTCCTTACACTGTTTTTTATTCATCTTAGTGTTCTCTCCAATTTTGGCAGGAGCAGGGATGGCCAGAATTTTGACTGAGATTGCATGAATGTTATCTGGGAGTGAATAGTTTTTGTCATTCTCTTGGACAAATAACAATGCATCAACACTAGTGAGATAAACCTGGTATTTGAGTTTGCCTTCTGGAGAATTTTAAAGCACTAATAAAAATCTTTTGTTTTTTCCAAAGTGTGCAAAAAAACAAACAAAAAAGAGTAGCTTTACTAAGAGAAATAACTTTAAAAACACACACACATACATAGAATCGCTCTAAAAGTCCAATGTCTGGATGTTGAGCCAACCAAATGAACTCAAATTATCTCTTCTATTCTAAAAATCCCCTGTAGAAACTATGTCATGGAGAATTATAGTGCTCTAATCAAATATTTAATCCCTACCGTCACATGTGATGGGCCATTTCCTAGACAGCAAGCTCCATAGAGTACATGATTTTATTCATTCTTTTATTTCCAGAGCCTGACAGAGTGTCTGGCACATAGAAGATAGTCATAGTTATTTGATGTATTTTTAGAAAAGTTTCTTCCTGTAAAAACTGCAATCATAATATGGGGTAGGTAACTACTCCTTCAAATCCATTCAATATATAAGTAAACTGAGGTGCAAAGAAATTAAATGTGAAGCTGATGTCACAGAACAGTCATGGCAGAGCTATGGCTTGAATTTAAGCATTTTAACTCCAGAAAAACACTCAGATTCTATCTTTAAAAATTAATGAAATTGTTTAATTATCATTAAGAATTATACATAGGTACAGGACACTATATATCAAAGAGAAACCACACTCTCAGGTTGACTATCGATAGTACTCTTCACCGAGAGCCCAGACATGGAATCTACAAGTGCCCATGGATGGATGAATGGACAAAGTGAATGCGATACATGGACAAAGTGGAATACTATTCAGCCTTACAAAAGACGGAAATCCTGCAGTTTGTGACAACATAAATATGCCTGGAGAACATCATGCTAAACACTATAAGTAAAAACAAAACAAAACAAAAAAAACTGCTGCATTAGCCTGTTTACATATGGACTCTGTGAAGACAGACTCTTTTCAGATGTTGAGAGTAGAGAGCAATTACTAGAGACCAGGAGCAAGGGGAGTGAAGAGCTGTGGGTCAAAGGATACAAGCTTCAGGCAAACGAGAGGAACGGCCTGTGCCCTCCCCTCATGACCCCGGCTTCTCCACCTCTTCCTTAACATTCCAAGCCCATGAAGAGTAGATTCTCAAGTAGAATGTGGAAGCTGTCAGTCTCTGATAGGAAAGGTGTTCTTTTTCCTTTTACTCTGCAACAGAAATTCTCTCTCCCTGAGGCTAGCCTATGGTAATCAATATGCCCCATTCCAGTCCACAAAGAAGGGGAAAGAAAAGACCGACAGAGAAGCAAGACAGTGAAGTAGGATTTTACAAGACATGAGGCGAAAAGGGTCAGACAGTGAAGTCCAAAGGAAGCTTGCCTCTGCTGAGAGAGTTTTAAATAACGCCTTCCCCATCCCTCTCTGTTATGGTTACAATATTTTGCTTACCTAAGAGTTAATAACATGTCTAGAACATTCCTTAGCATCCCCCAAGAGACTGAGTCAGAGTGTGTAAAAATCTCAGACCCGCTGGAGTTCTAGCCCTTAGATTTCATCTTTCTCCTGGTTTTAGTCCAAGTAGTTCAACCATTTAAAAATCTTTCTGAAACATGTTTTATAGGACAGGTAGGGAGGCAAAAAAAAATCTATTCATCACCTGAAATCAGCCAAGGAGATTAGGAAAATGCTATTGCATCAATTAAATAAAAATATCACACATTTCTTCACCAACTAATTATTCATTCCTGTCTTTCTGTGGTATGAATCGCAAAACAAGTATATGGATACATCTCAGTGAACATGACATCTCTTTAGGAGAGTGCATTAGTTTTTCCTCTGGGACATCATCGTAGATAGATGACCTTTGATAAATAGAACTCGTTCCAAATAGCTGCAATCATTTTTAATGCTCAAATTGGCACTACTTGGTTACTGGCAGTCCTCCCCATAGACTGACCTATTTATCTTTTGAACTCAAAGCTCAAATACATTAGATTGTACCCTTTTTTATTTGTTTGTTTCTTGGTACTGGGGATTGAACTCAGGCCTTTGTGCTTGCAGGCAGGAGGTGGAACCGCTGAGCCAAACCCCCGACCCAAGATTGTATTCTTTTTAATTAAAAGACACTCAGGATCATCTCTCGTTCTGCTTTCTTCAAGTAGAAAATAAAACACTAAAAAAAAATTATCTAAAGAGCTCTCCTTACATTTTTGTAGGATAATATTTGACACTAAAAACAGAGGGTTTGTTTTCCTTTCAGATAACCACTTAGAGTAAAAAAGAAGATTGATGCATTCCCTACAAGCAGAAAATCTCTTTGTATGAAAAAGTTATGACAATTTATAGTTATTACTTTTACTGATTTGACGCCTGAATTTTTAAATCTTATTCTCTGTAAGAGATTATAACTCCAGTGTTCACACTTTTCCACAAAATGTTATTAATTGTCATAACACAATGTTAAAATTACGTCTCTATTCACTAAAAGATATTAAGAAAATAAATCAAAAGTGAAAGTCTGGGAGAAGATATTTGCAAAATATATATCTCACAAATGATGGAAGCTAACATAGATAAGAACCCCTATAAATTCAGTGATAAAAAGACGAGCGACTCAATGAAAGGAAACCAAACCGAATGTGTGCAAGTGGGTGTGGGGTGCATGAGAATGTATTCAGTGCCATCAGACATCAGGGAAATACAAATTACATCTACAGTGAGATACCACTACACATTCACCAGAGTGACAAAAATATTTTTTTCCTGACAAAGTGTTTTAAAATGGATACATTTGTTGTTGATGAGATATGAAATTGGTACTTTGGAAAAATACCTAGCTGTTTCATGTAAAACTAACCATGGACATAATCTCTGATCCAGTAATTCCAATCCTTACATATACCCAAAATAAAACAGATAGCCACGAAAATACTCAGGTAAGAATGTTGATAAGAACTGTATTCAATGTATCTGCAAGTATCCCAAGTTTATGAATCAATAAATTATGATGTATTCATACAACAGAATACTACTTATATGTATAAAGGAACAAGTGACATGGAAAGTAAGGAAGGGAAAGAAAAAAATGAGAGAAGGAAAAAATGGAAACAAAACATTTATAAATAAGGAGCAGTGGAGGGGTTGAAATAAAGGAAGGGGAATAGAAAAAAAATAAGAACCAAGATATATCATGTACAGGTACAAGTTCCCTATGATGATACAGCAATAAACTTAATTGATAAAGAATAAAATAGCATTGAATAAAAAGAATTATTCTCAAAATACAGACTCTGTGATTACATTTATAAATAATGTCCCTAAAAGCAAAATTAGTCTTTTGGGGGAGATAAGTAGGAAGGATGATTGCTTATAAAGGTGAAAGTAGAGACTGAGTGGGACAGTAGTCATAAGGGAACTTTCTGGAGTCGTATTAGGGGTTTGGATTACACGGGTGTATGTATTGGTTGAAATTTAACAAATGTACATTTAATATGTGTATATGTAAATGTATACCGAAAGAAAGAGTAATACAAACAAATACTGAACTCTAGTCATTTATATACATGCTACTTAGTAAAAACGTGAAAACACTTGCAATTTATTTGCCGTGCACCAGAGAACAGATGAACAGATGAACAGATGAATGAAGAATGTCTCAGAATGAGAAGACGTGGTAAGTATATGGCTGCACAGATGTTTTCAGTTTTACTGTAGTGTGAGCTATCTCCATAATGTTACGGAGAATCATTGTTGCTCCCGAACCTGAGTTCATCTTCTCCATTCTTTATTTGATAGCTTTATAAGCACTCTCGTGTTGGCTATCACGGGTGAAGTCCCTATTTTCACCTCACCTGAGAGTTGCTTGAAATATTTCAAGCTAAATCCAAATAAGCCAAAGAATTCACAGACATAAATGACATCTAGGGTCCTGCTTATTGGAAGGTAGTAGGTGGTCCCAGCATCACAACCACTAAGAGTATTTTGCAGACTCTGCTTCATGCTTATTGGATAGAGGTCTTGATGCAAAGTGAGTCAGCTTGGAACACCATTGAGTATACCGCAATGCAAACTGCCAAGCAAGGTCCACCAACAGATGCTAAACTTAGTAAGCTAATTTTAAGAGAGACAGCCTAGTCTCAAGAACCTTTCCCAAGCTGCCTCCTCCCCCCCTCCACTCATTTCTTTCGGTTTTTTTGAGACAGGGTCTCACTATGTAGTTGAGACTGATGACTGACCTGGAACTCAAATGTAGCCCAGGCTGGTCTCAAACTCACAGTCATCCTCCTGTCTCAGCCTCCCAAGTGCTGCGATTACAGGCGTGTGCCACCACGCCCACCTCTTTTTATTAATTATAATGGGAGACAACAATAACTTTACAGTGCAGAAACCCAGCAGGTACCAAGTGATAGGATGTATAATCAGCACCTACCTCTTAACAGGACACAGTATACACCTGTTGTCGTCTTGCCAAACTTCAAGAAAAGTTGTTTAACTTCCATCTAATCATTAGAACACACTGGACAAGTGCAAAGGGAGGATTATCTTGTGTAGTAAGTGAAAGTCAACGGAAGACAGTAAAAGACTATCACAGACCGGAAGAGACTTAGGTGACATGACAACCAACTGCAACACAGAATTGCAGCTGGACCCTAAACAGAAAGATACTGCCCCCCCCCCAAAATGAAACCTACATAACAGTTTATAGTTCAGTTAATAGCATTATATCACTGTTAGTTTTTAAATTTTCAAAATTATGCTGTGATTACATAAGATGTTAGAGAAAGATGAGTGAAAGACATCTGGGAGTGTTTTCTATTATTTGCAATGGTTCTGTTAAGTCTACAATTAGTATCTATGCATATATGCATTCATATATCTAAAAAGTTAAGAATGACTGGATTATTCAGTAAATATTTGGAAAATTTATGATGCAAATGAACACAACTACAAAAAAATGAAACACGTATTTTCTTTCCCCAACCATCCATTTCCAACATAAGTAGAAATCCTCATAGCTCTATTACAAATCCCGCCTCTCGCTACCACCTTGACTGTATTTGACTTTTCAGCTCACTCCAGGCTACCATCACCTGCGTTCACAGCTTTTGAGCTCACAGCCATCCTTTGAGGCCGGCGCTTTCCACCTTCCCCTTGCCCTCACACTACGTCCCTGTCTAGTCTCCCCTCTGCTCACAGAAGAGGCGATTTCTATGCTAAGGTACGCATTTAGCTTTGGTAGGTACTGTCAAATATTTTTCCAAAGGGCTTGTACAAATTTAGATCGCCAACAGCATTATGTGCATCCTAGTTAATGTTCCATCTCATTAACTCTCAGTAGTGTCAGAGTGCAGCTATAACCATTAACCATCCCGGTGCATATGAATTATTGTAGTCGGTTCCCGTTTCCCTGACAAACATTGCTGTGGGGAAGTGTTACAGAAGCTCACTGACCATGGTGAAAGCTGAAGTTTTTTTTACTGATTTCTTTTTCTGTTACTACAATGTCTTTAAAGATAATTTTTAAAAATCTGTCACTTTTTTCCTATTACAGTGGAATCACTGGCCTGCTGTGACTAACTGCATTCTACTTGGTTGTGGAGTCCCTGGTATATATTTGAGAGTGACTAACTTCACACCAGTGCCCTATGTGCTACTTCTCAATGCAATTACAATAAAACCCAAATGAAAATGGCAGATGGCCAGCTTCTCAGATCCCATCATCAACCTGGCCTTTGTCCTTTGCTCTCCTGCCACCAGGCCCCTCTTTCTCTCCCTTAAAAAAGCAGTTGCTGAACTCCTTTCTGATGTCACTAGAAACGGGACTCTTCTCCTGATTCAAATCTCTTCAAACATTTCTGAAAGGCATTTCTTCATCTTTCCAAATAAGATCCCTCAAGGCAGTTCATCCTTCCCATTGCCCTATTTTATTTCACACTTGGAATCTATCACGTTCTGAGATGCAGTGGATCTGTTACTACAAGGCTTACTGTCTGGCTTCCCAGTATAATGAGGGCTCATGAGAGTCAAGGCTTTTAGAGTTATTTTTCACCACTTTGCAGTGCCTGGCACTTATTAAGCACTCAATAAATACTTGTGAAGCATCAAATTAAAAAAATCAAGGCATAAAAACAAAATGGAGAAAACAAAAGATAAGAAAACATTATTAAAACCTTGTGACAGAGGAAGGTTTTCAAAGAAAGCCACCAAAGCTGAGAAGCATAATGACAAACAGATTTGCTTATGTATAAAATTGTGAAACTTCTGTGTAGTAAAATTCTCCACTAGCGAAGCTAAAAGGAGAAAATATTTATGGCATGCACAATTAACACTGGCAAAGACTGAACCCAGATGCATGTTTTAAACCTAGTTAGATAAGAGTCATTGTCCTGATTCAGTGGTACCCAGACATCCTTTAAAATAAGTAAAATGCATAGAATACATAATCATCCTAGGAAATGATGGAATACTAAAGACAAACTGCCCAATAGGAAAGAGGGAAAAAGTTACAAAAAGGCAATTCACATATGCAAATTGCTGGCAAAAGATATGAAAACATGCTCAAATTTATTAACAATTTAAAAATATCTGTTCACATAGTGAAATACAATTTTGTTGCCTATAAAGTTAGTAAAAGTTTTAAAAATGGTAGGTACTTGCTGCTATGCAGTCTCTTATGCGGGGAAAATAAATTCTCTGTTATAGAATTTGTGGAAATCTGAATTGTAACCTTTCTGGAGGCCAAATGGCAATGTCTATCCTTCAACTGAGCGATTCCACTTTTAAGAATGGATATTTCCTATTAATAAGCCAAAATATTTATGCAAAGATGTCTGTGCATATTAACGCAGCATCATTATAACAATGTGGTAATAATCTAAATGTAAAAAATAGGAAGCAACTTAAACATTTTAGAGTAATGGGGCTCTGTGTGACTATTAAAAAGATAAATCCGAGTTTTCTAATGTACAATCATGGCTATGATACATTAGGAGAAAAAGGCAGCTGAAAATCAGTGTGTGTACCTCGAATCCCTCTTTAGGAAAAACACTCTAATCTGCAATTACGAGATTCTGACTAATTGTGGCCGAAACAGCAAACATATCTTAGGGCCTATTTAGTAATATTTCGGTTCACAAAATGCTTCTGTTTGCAATTTGTTTCGCAAACAAAAGCATTTGGCAAAATTTTGCTTCCATTCACAAACTTCACATCGGATGACAGGAATGACACAGCCATCTTCCTACACAAACACGAACACAGCCATCTTCCCCCAAATCATAAAACAAATGCAGCTTGTAAACTGAGGCATCACTGTAATAACAAAAAGTCAACTAACAGGACTCCATATCAGTTTCCCAAACTGATAACGGTGGAGAACAATCATTTTTTTTTCCTCTCATTGATTTCTACCTTTTTTTCTCAGCAAGCAAATATTTTATAGAAACCACACAAAAAATCTGTCCTCATTTTATGATCCAGCACTATGGCACTTGGCCACACCTCATTACACAGAAGCAGCAAAAATACAGTACAGAGGAAAATGAGATTCTGTGGCCAGTCCAGAAGGGTCATGATCTCCACTCAGAGTCGAAGGAGACTTTTACTTTAAAATCAAGGCATCATTGCCCACAAAAGCACTAGCTACAAAACAAAAATTTGATAATATGGATCTCTTTAAAAGTAAATACTTTTGCTTATCAAAAGATTCCACAAAAGACTGTGAGAACATATTAATAATTCATCTATCTGATACAGGACTTGGACCCAGAAGATAAAGAGCTCCTACAAATAAAAAGGAAAAAAAGACAAATAATTAAAAATGAACAAATGATTTTGATGCTTCAGAAATGAGACACTGAAATGGTCAATAAACATATATGACAAACTTATCAACCTCGTAACTCATTCCCAAAATACAAACCAAAACCACAGTGAAGTCCACTCTCTGTCTACAAGAATGGCTACAGGGACAAAGATTGACAATCCATGTTCTAATGAGAATGTAGAACAAGTAAAATTCTCAAACATTGCTGATGGGCCTGCAAATAGATTTTGCCCTTTTGGAAAATTCTCCCGTGATAGCAACAAGTTAAACTTACAAATACCCTATGACCCAGAAATTCCATTCTAGAGTAGCCAACAATAGAAATGAGTGTGTATACCCACCTGAGGTAGAGATATATAGACATAGATATGAATGTTCTCTGAAGCTTTCATTATTTACAAAACTAGAAGCAGCCAAGGTATCTAATTAATCTATAAGTGGGTGAATAAATTGTGATATATTCATGCACAATAAAACTACCTAATAGTGAAAGTAAATAACCTACTGAATTATGTAATAAAACATGTATCAATATCATGGAAATACTGGCAAAAGCCAGACACGAAAGATTACATGCAATATTATTTAGTTTAAATGGAGTGTAGGAGTTGGAGAAAGGACGCTACCGGACTGACATCCTGAGAGGTCTAGGGGCGGAACAAGGCCTCCTGGGGGTGCGCATGCTCTGTCTCCTGTGCTTGCTCATGCTCTGTCTCCTGGGCTGGTAGGATGAAGGTAGACAAGTCAGCATGCTGTTCTCGATTCATGTGAACGTTCGAGCGTGTGCACTGTATCTCAGGGAAATGATTACAACAAAAATAAAGTTCAAAACAATCAAGAGAGCTTTCTCCACCCTAACTTTATGATGTCAATTTTTTGTTGTTGTTGTTGTTGTTGTTTTTTTTTAACTGGGGATCGAATTCGGGACCTTGCTCTTGCTAGGCGGCAGCAATGAGCTAAATTCCGGGGACCGCTCTTATCTTTAAGGCCGGAGATTCTTTTATGTAGAAAGCGAATAGTATTTTGTTTGTTTATTTATTTGTTTTTAGATAGGATCGTGCCAGTTTGCCAGGTTGTGATCTCATTTGGGATCCCGCCTCAGCCTCCTAAAGTGCTGGAATAACACGTGTGCATTATTGAGCTAGGTTAAAAAGCAGAAGCTGATATTCATGGCTTTTGTCAAAGAACATTGTCTCTCTCACACACACACACACACACACACACACACGTGTGTGTGTGTGTGTGCATATATAATATATATAATGTTAATGTGTTTATAGAAACATTAAAAAAGTTGTTTTCAATGATCCTAGGTGTTAGGAATTTATTTTCTATGCTGAAAAAATTGAGTGAAGCAGATGAGACATTCAGCACCCCCAGAACTTCTGGGGGTGATAGAAGGAAAAGTTACTAAGGCTTGCGAAACTTTCTCTGAGTTCATTTCATTAAAATGGAAACATCTACTGGGAAAATTAATATTCCTGTAATAATTGAGGGCTGCTTACTGTATTTTCTCCTGAAATGACCTTTTCTCTCCTATGAAGGATGAAAAGAGTAAGAAAGCAACCTTGAAGGTCATCTAATTTAATGTCCTCAGCCAATGTGCCAATCTTTTCTCTAATTCCTACTTTTACAGGGTCTCAACAGTTGTGTACCAACTGGAAAATATGCCTTTACTCCCAAGTAGGGAAGGAATGCTTGATGGTCAACTGGCTAGAAAACAACCTAGCAAATCTGCCCTCGTGTGTTTTCTTTGGCACCTGGAGCAGTGTGGGTGTGCGTGTGTGTGCATGCGCTCACACGCATGTGTGTTTCAGAGAATTTGAGAGTCTGAAAGAGAAGGAGACAGAAATCAAGGAACCAATGATGAGCAGGATGCTGGTTTGGGGAACCCATTTAGCAGCACTTGTGTGGCTAGCCTAGTGACATTTCTAACCTTAATAGAAAATATAATCTAGAGTGTAACCTTATTCCCTTCATTTTGGTTTTGTTAAAATCAACAGTGCCAAGAAAAAGTCTGCAAATTTTCAGCACTGAAGGACATCCCTTGTCTGACAAGTCTTCCTAGAGGACCCATTCTGAGTCCCAGTGAGTTCTACACTACCAGTCTCTGCTTGTCCTTGGGCCTTCTGCCTCCACCTACCCTCCACCTGCTCCACACCTTCACTCACCACTCATCTTTTCCCCTTGGCTTTGAGTTTCTAAAGCCCTGATACCAAGCATAATAGAAAGGACTCGTGTATGCAGGGAGTAAACTTTAGAAGTACATCTGAAGAGAATCCATCTTCCTGAGAATGGTGTGGGAGGGTGTGACAAGTACATGGACAGTGGTAAGTCTTGGGAAGAGGATCTGTGCTCTGGACTTCTTGGGCCAAATCCAGCTTGAGCAGCAAGAAGGACTTTGAGTAACTTTGTGGTATTTGAGAGCAAAGAGACCCTGGGGTTTTGACACATTGCCGTAAGGGAAGGAAGCACTCAGAGAAAGTGCAGCACGCCAAGCTGGTAGAAATGTACAATGGGATTTAGATGCAATAGAAAAATTTCCCCAAGTGGTCCCAGATATCATAGAGAGAATGAGCACGGAAGAGGCCCGGTGGATAGCAGAAGACAGCAGCAGCAGAAAGAGCAATGGGCATCATCAAGGAGACATGCATGGACAGTCACCTCAGCAGCACTGTGGCCCTGAGTCTAGACCACCTTATGGCAGGGAGGAGATGTGGACCGAATTCTTGAATTGATTAAAATTGATTTCCTGTCACTGACTGGACAGAATTTGGGTCTAAAACAGAAGCTAGATTTTGAAAAAATTACTAGTTCCAGTCTTCCCTACAAAGTGTCATTCCATCTGCTAACCATGGAGAAAACAGGACTTTATCTGCTTTTATTACTTAAAGGGGTCAAGTCCAACAGAATTCTCTGAAATACATGTTTTGTTCCAAAAACTCTTTGTATGTTAAGTGGGCTGATTTAGAATGTTCGTACTATTTCATAGAGCCTCCCACTAACTACCCCACCCCTCGAAGGTCCTTGTGGGTGACTGGTCCAGGAGGAAGCAAAAGGGAAGTATTTGCTGAAATTGCCACTGGGCTGGTCTCTGTTAGTATCATAGAAAAGGAAAAGATAAATGGGCAAGGGACATACAGGACCAAATAAACTTTTCCACACACATCACTTTCAAACTTAAGGACATGTTGCTTTCTTGAAATATTACAGAAACCAGTAAGAAGGAGTGTAGTGGGATGAAAGGCATCTTTCAGTGAATGCAGAATCCACTGAGTATGCCCTGTGGCCAGCAGAGTCCATGTGTTAACATCAGATTACAAAGCTCAGAAAGATGACCAGAAACAAAATTCTGACCCAGTCACTTCACTCCTACTGCGAGCCCAGGCAATACGGCAAACCACGGAGGCACCTGAAAGCAAAGATGTGGACGGCATGCCTAGGCTGGGGCTTTTCCTTTGCCACTTGCTCCTCCTTTTCCCATCCTCCTCTTTCTTCTTTTAATTGCTCCCAACTTCAAGGCCCAACATTCAATCCAGGAAGGCTCTAATGTTAATGACAGCAATGTAGTTTCCTCCATTCACCTTCTTTTCTAGCCTCCCAAACCCTTTCACTTTGTGCATTGTGGCCTTGAGAAGCCCAGCTTCTTCCAGCCCCGCTCTTAGCATTTGTTTGCTTTTCTTTGCCATTACAAATGTTGTCTTACAACGTATTACCTCTTGGAATCTAAAGGAATTGCTCTCTTTCCATATTTTACTTTTGATTTTTATATAATTGGATTTTCACTCAACTAAAGCATGCTAAAAATGTGCCCAGGATTTGTTTAAATGAAGTATTATAAGATGTACTCTGTTTATACTCACAGATCCCTAGAGATGAAAGGACTTGCCCTGCAGGATTACATGGGGAGTTATGTAGGAGACGGACGGAGAGAGGGCAGAGTGTGGCCCAGAGTGCTTGGTGCTTTTTGTGAGAAGGAACAAGAAAGGCAGGGTAGGTACATGGAATAGGCACAGCTATTAAGAGTGTGGATCATTTCCTTGGGTTCTAAGCTATGGGGCGGTTTCTAACAGTCAATACCTGGTCCTTGGGTGATTTAGGATGGGGGAATCATTAGCTAGGTATGTGAGAGGTCCATAGAGGGGGTGGTTGAGGCAGAAAGCACTGTGTTAGTTGGGCAGGGTATGAAAGGTATGCTCCTGGGCATCTTTATTTGCTCTGCCCAGCGATTAGCTAGTCCTAAGGAAGCTTCCTCTCCAGGAATGACATTCCAAATGCCAGAGCATCAAGCCAATAAGGAGATATAATCATTACAAGCTGGATTAATAATGGTCACTGTTTCATGGCACAATGTTACCATGGGTCCGTGCATAATCCTCTTTATGTATTTATTTCTACAACATAGAACAACTGTGCATTAACCACGGACCCTAAAACCTAGATATTACAATTCCTCACTTCTCCTTCAATCTTAAGCTGTCCGTTAGGACTGTCCGCCGTGGATGAGATGTGTCACACCTCATCAGCAGACAAGGTTCCTATTTTGAAGGATTCCTGGGAGCCACTGTAACTCCCTGGCCTCTCATCTGTCTTATCAGCTTGAATTTCGAGATCTTTGAATGTCTTCCAACCTGTAATTTAAACACCAGCAAGCAGAAAGAACACATTACCTGGCTTTGAATGAAATGTGTGAATTTTTAGAAATGGATAGTGAAATTAAAAATAAAAATGACTTTGTGCCTACATTAGCCAACACTTCTGATGATGGCAAAATAAATACTCCTCACAGCTCTTGAAGTCTGAGAATTGAAGGATAGGAGGAAAAAGGCCTTGACATGAGCCTCCCAGGCCAGCAAGAAGGTCTTCTTATGCTCTCAGCTTTCAGCAGCTCCACTATTCATTTTGAATGAGGGCCACCTGACATTGTCCAACAGCAGCCAGCAGACAAGAAGGCACAGGCCTTCACACAGCTCTGGAGAATATTGATTATGTTGTCTATTGCATGAAAGAGTTGAGGGATGTTATGTTTAGAAAAACTGGTGGGCCTATTACTGAAAAATCAACAGAAATCAGATACCTACAAGAAAGGACTCTGGAAAAGCCAGCGGTACACCGTCACAGGCACCAGGTATGGGGAGAGTATGTGCTGGGATAATGCTGAGGGGTTTCAGATTGGCTTCTGGGTCCTCATTACCATCCCAACAGGTCCTAGACATTTCTCCTTCCAAGTGCTAAGAAATGCTATTGGCTGGATCAGATCTGCCTCATGTATTTTGTAGCTTTTCTGAAATTCTGTGTGAAAACCTTCATGCAGGTTCCTAGGTTATTATTACAAATAAGGAAATGTTGCAAAGCTAAGATTTATTCAAGAAATTCAAGATTTTCTTCTTATTTTATTGTTTCTTTTTCTGCTTTGTATTCCATGGGAGCTTTGGAAGTTGGTTTTGTTATATCCTACTCAATGTCTCACAGCCAAAAGGCTTTTAGAACTTGGATCTCAAGTTCAAATAAAACAGTGGCTCTGGTCGTATTTCGTGCCGCTAAAGAATAAACCACTTTCTATCCAAGTATAGATTTCCTCAATGAATGGTCATGTGAGAAGAATACTGGAGTATTCAGGATGTCTCAATTTGGGGGCTTTGGTTGGATCCCAGTATACACAGGAGACCCCCATTTGAAAATATTCACTGATCCAAAAGAAATGAAAGGGTGCCTGTCCTACAAATGGCCCCTGAAATAACTTTGGACATCCAGCCCCTGCCACCGAACGGTGGCTATTACCCTTGGACACTGCTAAGCAGGACTTATAATTCTGGAATAATTTTCCTTTGAAAATTATGGCTCCTTAACTTTAGCTCACACTTCGGCCTTCTCGTCTCCTCTCCCACGTTAAATTGGTCCATAAAATGCCACACACCATAAAATGAGATCTGGGTGGAGACGTAGCCCAGCATCCCCCAAGGTAAACATTATGGTAGACTCCCACCCCATCCCTTGCCCGAGAAGATGGATGCAAAAAGCAGTGCTTGTCTGGAGACTCTACTAATAGCAGCCACCGAACAGCTGCCTTTACACACGCCCTGCAGTTCTCCCCACTTCCCTTATCTGACGAGTGGTCTAACAAGGGAACAAGAAAATGCTGGAGCTACGCGAAGTACTGGCGAGCGGACACCATGGACTTCCGGTGGCCGGGCTCCAACCACATGCGGAACAGCCTGGCCTAAAGCAGGCAGCCTGATGGTGTCTGAAATATTTGGCTCCTGCCTCTGGCTGTGGGCTGGCTGTCTGGTTTGTTTGAACACAAACTAGCCTGGGAGTCTTTATGTAGAATGCTCCTTGAAGATTTTCCGTGACATCTGCCAGTTAAATGTATGAATTACTCTGTTTACTCCTCCGCGGTGAGGCAGATATTTTATTCACAAGCACAGGGTTTCACCTTGCCCTTGGTTTTGTTTCTGTCCCTGGATGGGTTTCTATTATGTGCCAGTCACTGGGCACATATTTGGCAGCCCCAGATAAATGGGCCCCGGGGTTCTCATTTTGCAGATGAGGAGACTGATATGCAAGGATATTTTGTTTTTTATCCTCTCCCCACAACTTTGTTAGGGTTAATATTTGACTATTTTAAATTGCTTTTGGGTCACTCATTCATTGAGTCACCACAACTATGTTTTGTGCATTTAGTAGGTACTAGGTCACAAGATTAAGTCTGAAAGCTTTTTCTGTAAAGAGCCAGATGACATATATTTCAGGCTTTTAGATCCTTATAGTCCGTAATTACTGTGCTCAACTCTGCCATTCTAGTGTAAAAGCAGCTGTGGACAATGGATATAATAAAGGACATGGATATATTCTAGTAAAATCTTATTTACAAAAACAGGCAGGAGGCCACATTCAGCCCTCAGGCCATAGTTCCCTGTGGACCACGCAGTGTATAACCTGGACCCCCATTCGTAGCGTCCCTGGTGAGACACCAAATAATTATGTGTTGACTCTGGATCTGGAGCCCACGACACTGAGGATCTTTTTGTTTGGCTTAATCTCCTGCCTCCTCACAAAATAATCCCGAGCGTCCCACCTGAGTCAGCACTGCCTTCTAAGGTGAGATGCTGTCTCTGACCTGTGGTACTTCTCATGTGTCACTCATCACGGGCATGTTCCTAGAAGTCATTAAACCCCTTGGGGCTTTCAGCAGGCTAAGTGTTAAATGGGAGAAAGGCACAAGAAAGTGGGCTCTGGAACATGGAGGAGTCTGTGCTTGGGCATGACTCTCCACACACCTCAATGTGTTGCAAAACTAACAATTATAAATACAGTCACAAGGCTTGTCACTGACTGTGTTTATATGCTGAAAGCATTGTCTCACTTGCTCTGAACCATGATCCAGATAATAGGAATTGCTATTTCCAAATAAGGAAACCTAGGCTCAGAGAAGTTAGGTCACAAGGTCACACAACAGGACATGGGAGACTCTGGATGGGAGGCATGCCCACAACCCCAACCACCACAGAAGAAGAAAATGAAGCAACAGCCAGATTTATGGGTGTCTCTGTTGTTGCCCTCATGGAACCACGGCTCCAAGATAATAGGGAAGTTTCCTTTGCCTGGCCAGCAACCACACAGATTTTACTAGAATATAGCCATGTCTGTTATTCTATCTACTGTTCACTGCTGCGTTCACACTAGAATGGCAGAGCTGAGTGCAGTAATCACAAAAGAGGCTTTGTGGCTCTCAAATCCTAATACTCCTGGGAGTAGGGTCAGATTCCTGAGGACAGGAAGGCCTTTCTGCCAGTGTGGGCCCACAGTTCCCTCTGCTGCCCGGGGGGAATACTGCAGAGACCTCTAGTCTGCCTCAAGGAGATGGAAGCGCCTTAAATGCCAGGTGTTGAAGATTGTGATTGAGTCATGATGTGAGGTTTTACTGGAATTCCCTTTTTATTGCACCTGATAACTTTACATTGGATTGTGAGATATTTATTTAGGCTGGTGCAGGGGTAGAGAATGAAGAAGAAAAAGGGGAAATGTGGAGGTGGAGGAGGAGAGGCTATAATCGACACAGGGCACACTGAAGCAAGAAAAAAAAAAAGAGGCTCCTCTGATGCTTGGTTTCTCCACCTGAACAAGTGATGCATCTTTTCTTTCCCAGGGCGGCCTACGGCCGACTGAATAGCAATGACATGTGGGCCAGGAAGAAGTCAAGGAGGCTCCCACTGGTCCCTGGAGGCATTTATAGCTCCAAGTCAGGTAAGGTTTACCCTAATATTTTTTTTTTTAAATAGGTTTCCTGGAAGTAAGCAAACAAAACTCTAATTTAACGTGTACAGGGAAAGGGGACAATGTCAAGACATAATGCAAAGCAACTACGTGCTAAAGAAGCTAGATTGGAGGAGTCTTTTTTAAAACAAATTAAATAAATAAAAGATTACCCTTCATGGTACAGTGGTGCTGTGGCCTGGGGACAGAACTGGAAACTTTGTGTGGTGAGTTCTAGTGGGATGTAGGTTGGGCCAAAATATATTTGTCTCCAAGAAATACATTTTTCAAAAGGCTAAGCCTTAATTTTTTTTTTTAAGTAAACAGTCGGGAAAATGCCAGGCTTGATATTTGAATGGGGCCCTGGACAGTCTGTGGAAGTCCTTGTGAGTGGGAAACCCTTGTTTGCCTGACACAAACCTTGCTGCCACGACTCCATCCAGCACCCTCCTGGTATTGTGGCTCTGTCCAACGCCCTCCTTTTCGCGCCATCACCACCAGCACAAGATGTGCGTCCTTTGCTCAAAGGGGCAGCTATCTTGTAAGAAGGAGAGAGTGCCGAAAACAGCTCCGCCGGTCCAGTAGTCAGATCTCCGAGTCCACGGTGATGTTTCACTCTTGCCATATTTTCCGTGGCTTTCTGGGCTCCATCCCTCTAAGCAAACACTCCCTCCATGTTTAGATTCCTTCTAACACCAAGCAGTAATGTAATGGAAAGGAACATCAAGGACCTAGGCTGGAGGGGTTTTGCTAGTAACTTCCTCAGTCTTTGACGTCTCAGACTTTCAGAATTCTTATCTCTATTTAATAACACTCATCTTACAGTCACAATGAAGAATCAAGTGGGATCATGTTCATGAAAGTATGTTAATAAATAAATGTAAAGTGCCTAATATACATCTGACATTGAGAAGTATGACGATAAGATACAGCCTTATAATTTAGTCAGAAAGGCAGACAGAGGCACAGGTAGTTTTAATGAGATGTATGAAGACTGGCTTGCATTGGTTTTGCTTTTTTTCTTGTTAGCCATATCAAACTACCCAATAACTGATTCCAACTGTGATACCCACTATCATTCATTTCTCATTCTTCTTTGGGGCTCAGATTTCCAACCTAAGAAATGTATAAGTGGCCTGATAATTTGCTATCCATATTGGGACACTTCCAAAAGTGGGGAGATGAGGCTACTTGCGCCAGAGCAACTGGTGTGAGTGAGTGACACCCCCAACCAGCATGGACTGGGATCACACCACAAATGCAACGGGAGAAGGCATCCAGCACTATCTAAAACCTATTCAAGCTCTGACAGTTTGTGGCCTTAGGTTTATTGCAAGTTTTTCACCTAGGCTTAGCGAGCAAGTTTCCTTTGTGGGTGTAGTTCCTGGTCATGAGCATGAAATCTTTGAGAATCCTCGTGACAATCCTTACACATCAAATTCTTTGTGAACCAACCCACACAATTGTTCCTTGTGATTCTACCACCTGTTGGAGCATAGCTGCCTTGCAGCCTGGGAAACTAAATACAAATAAACACAGGCAGCACAGTGGATGCTACCAGGGAATGTTGAGCTCTTGGGTTACAAGACTCATCTCAGATACTCAACTCTTCACCCAAAGCAGTAGGCAAATTTCCAGACAACATATATACATTAATGTCTGCCTGCTATGAGTTTTGCTAAGCTTGAAGTCAGTAAGAGGAAAGGGTGGATGAGCCTATTTTACATATCATCTCTCTCCCTTCCTTCTCCTCCCTCCTTATAAATTGGATTCCTTTTCCATTTCCACTGTCAACATTTTTATAGTCTTGGGATGAGATCTTTGAAGTTTCTCTTTTTCTTTCTTTTTCCCCACATCACACAATGAAAAGATTTTCCACCACAATAAGAGGGAAACTGAGGTGTACACGAGCTACAGACAAGTTCTTGATAACCCTGTAGGCACAAGGAGCTCACACAGTCATGCTGGATGGCTTGAGATCGGTGATAGAGTATCTTGTAGAGCCAGGCTCTAAGAGCCTATCTTCCTATAACTAGACAGTTTAACAAGACTTTAAAGGCATGTGGCTGGGCTAAATCTGCCTCTCCCAGACATGTACACAAGAGTTATATGAGAGTCTTTTATTATAAGAATTTCAAAACACTTGGAGTTTGTGGGGCCTTGGACCCTCCTTTAACAGCATTCTTTTCAATTTATGTTGCCCTGTCTCATCCTTCTGCCATCCCAGGGTCTCATTCTAGTGGCCTTAATATCTTTTATGAAGTGATCCATATTGGTGGCTCAGTTTCAGATAAAAAATAGATACAGAAGGAACCAGGTTCAGTGATCAGAGTGGTCACTTGGGGTGGAATATTTTGGGAGACTACATTGACAGTTGCTTAAATCTGAAAGAACTTACAGAGAACCCACTGAGGAGGTGGTTGCACCAACAGCCCCATCACCCACCCAGTTCCAGGGAACACAGGCTTGTCTTGTTCTACCTTCTCAATCTGCACAGCTAACCAGTCCTATCCTATGATGTGGAACAATCTTGCTAAACTTCCATCTCAGCTGGCTACCAAGGTACGCATGACTAAATGGAATCAACAATCTTACATCATGTGGTTCTGCTACTGTAATCACATCTTCACCTACCTCCTTCATGGGGGAGTTAGGACGATGAATGGTTAGTGATGGTTCAGGGAGTGAAATGGAAACAAATACTAATACGATTTGGCTTACTGAGGACGTGAGGCTGGGACTCCTGAGCTAAGTCTTGTTTTCCTCTAGAGCAAGTTTTGCTCCAATCTATGTTCTAAGATCTATATTCTTCACTGTTGGCTCTCTAGGAACCTGGCTGTCTTTCTTTAGTAAATCTGTTTTATGGCTTTTAAGCCAAGAGCATCAGAATCTATATGGTATGTTTGACGAGACAGTATGTGCTTTACCTCAAATTCTTTTTGCACTATATTTGTAAACATTGTCTTGAAAATCAAAAATTAAAATAAGAAAATGAAAGCTATCCTCTCATGTCAAGCCCAATTATCCTGTGGGGTCAAGGATGCCCTTGCTCAGCCACGTTGGGGTGTGGGGATAGCAACTTCCTCCTTCTTGTCTTCACCCTACTTTGTGCTCCGAGTGTAGACCTGAAACAATGATTGGAGGATTGCAGCATAACCTTGCAAGTGTTAAATCAGCACCCATCTTGGCCTAGGCTCTCTTTTTAAATTCAAGGGGCTAGCAATAAAAATAATATGTAGTTCAAGAGGCCATCAAGAAATGTATACATCAGGGAAAAAAACTGATAGAAATATTTTAATATCGAGTTTATTGAGACATCATGAAGTTAAAGCAACTTTTGGCCTCTACAATTACAAGAGGTGCTCAAAGTGGTGGCCGTTAGTTTCCAGATGTTTATTAGTACAGCAAGATACTGAAGTATGTATATACATATATATATATATTTTTTGGTGGACTCTGGATATCTAATATTTTATTAGGGATGTTTAAATAAGTGACAAGTAAAGAATTGAAAAATAGCATGCAAATGGCATGTCACCATGTAATGTGAAAAAGGCTTATGGCAGCTATAAAAGCTTGCAGAGGAAGGATCTGTTAGTTCAGCCTGGGGCATCAGAGAGGTCTTCTCAGGTGTGTTGAACTCCGTTGGCTTAAACTAGCTGTCAATATGTATTCCACTTCCATTTACCCAACACCTAGTAAGTGCCAAGCAGTTCAGATTTTGAGGCAGTCCTAGACCTCACGGCCTACCCAGTGAGCTAGATAAATAAGTTATAAAATATGAATGTTTATTTTAGGAGTCTTCATTGTCATACCTCCCCTGTTTTAAAGCATGACTAAGTGCTAGGCATCACTCCTAAAATAAGTTAATTTCTTTTTCCTCACTGAGTTTATTGGTACATTTTAGGTATACAGTACAGTTACATTCATCATTGGGATCTTGTACCTTTACATGACAGGTCTTGGTTCTCATTTTTCCCCATCCCCCTGCCTTCCCTTCACCCCCTCCTCCCTTCCCTATTAACAAATCATTATAAAATTAGTTAATTTTCAACTCAGCATCTAACTTATGGTTCACAATCACCATGTATCGCTCTTTTTGTCGCTGTAACAGAACACTTGAGGAAAGTTACTTAGGAAGAAATTTATTTCGCTCACGGTATGAGTGGTTCAATGGGATACATAACACTGGCACTGGGAAGTTCTTGGCTGTATCACATCATAACAGACGGCACTGGAGGGATCAAGTAAGTGATGATATCTCCAACCAGGAAGAGAGAGAACTGAGTGGAGCCAATCCTGGTTTTCAGAACAATTTTCTCACAAGAATTTCCAAGGGATCCCACAGAGCTACCTTCTAAGGATATGTCCGCCAACACAGGGACCTCCCTCCAGGCCCTGCCTCCTAATTGGTACATTTGGTATACAGTACAGTTACATTCATCATTGGGATCTTGTACCTTTACATGACAGGTCTTGGTTCTCATTTTTCCCCATCCCCCTGCCTTCCCTTCACCCCCTCCTCCCTTCCCTATTAACAAATCATTATAAAATTAGTTAATTTTCAACTCAGCATCTAACTTATGGTTCACAATCACCATGTATCGCTCTTTTTGTCGCTGTAACAGAACACTTGAGGAAAGTTACTTAGGAAGAAATTTATTTCGCTCACGGTATGAGTGGTTCAATGGGATACATAACACTGGTTCCCTTCACCCCCTCCTCCCTTCCCTATTAACAAATCATTATAAAATTAGTTAATTTTCAACTCAGCATCTAACTTATGGTTCACAATCACCATGTATCGCTCTTTTTGTCGCTGTAACAGAACACTTGAGGAAAGTTACTTAGGAAGAAATTTATTTCGCTCACGGTATGAGTGGTTCAATGGGATACATAACACTGGCACTGGGAAGTTCTTGGCTGTATCACATCATAACAGACGGCACTGGAGGGATCAAGTAAGTGATGATATCTCCAACCAGGAAGAG